CCGGGTTCAAGCGAGTCTCCTGCCTCAACCTCCCAAGTAGCTGGGACTACAGGCATGTGCCATCACGCCTGGCTAATTTTTTGTAATTTTAGTGGAGATAGTGTTTCACCATGTTAGCCAGGATGGTCTCGATATCCTGACCTCCAGATCCGCCTGCCTTGGCCTCCCAAAGTGTTGGGATTATAGGCATGAGCCACTGTGTCCAGCCGATTTATATTTTTAAAAATCCAGAGTGTAGCACTTGACCTTGTTGGGGGTTTTCTTCCCTTACCTTATTCTTTTTTATTGATAATGGGGTGGCAGGTGCTGACAAAATACCAAGTACATGTTGCAGTGTGTCTCATTTTTCTGTCTAGGTAAGGTTACCAAGCATTAATTAGAGGATTATGAAATGCACAGTTTGAAGGCTCTTCATACAGCATTTGTATTGATGAGAAAATGGAATTTCCCTTTGGTGGTGTTCTTTAGAGAATATTCAGTTTAATTTTTCTAAAGGAGAATCATCTTGGGATAATAATGTTTAAGTGTAACTTCAATGTTCCCTGAGTTTATCTTCAAGGTATTAGAGAAAATATTATACAGGTATGCCTCATTTTACTGTGCTCTACAAATAATGCCTTTTCTATAAATTGAAAATTTGTGGAAATCCTATGTCAGACATTTCTGTTGATGCCATTTTCTGAGTGGCATGTGCTTACTTGGTAATTCTCACAATATTTCATACTTTCTGATTATTATATCTGTTATGATCTGTGATCAGTGCTCTTTGATGTTGCTATTATAATTGTTTTGGGGTGCCATGAATGTTGGCCATATAAGATGGCAAACTCAATTGATAAATGTTCTATGTGTTCTGACTGCTCCACTGACTGGACATTCCATCTTCTTGTCTTTGGGTCTGCCTATTCCCTGAGACACAACAATATTGAAATTAAGCCAGTTGATAGCCCAACCTTGGCCTCTACATGTTCTAGTGAAAGGTAGAGTTGCATGTCTCTCACTTTAAATCAAAAGCTAGAAATTACTAAGCTTATGAGGAAGACATGTCAAAAGCCAACACAGGCCGAAAGCTAGGTCTCTTGCACCAAACGAGTCAGCTAGCTTGTGAAAGCAAAGGAAAAGTTCTTGAAAGAAATGAAAAGTCCTGCTCCAGCAAACACATGAATGATAAGAAAACAAAGCAGCCTCATTGCTGATATAGAGAAAGTTCACATGGTCAGGGTAGTAAATAAAACCAGCTACAACATTCTCTTAAGACAAAGCCTAATCCTCAGTAAGGCCCTATCTGTGTTCAGTGTTATGTAGGCTCAGAGAGGTGGGGATACTGCAGAATAAAAGTTGAAAGTGGGCCGGGCACTGTGGCTTACGCTTGTAATCCCAGCACTTTGGGAGGCTGAGGCGGGCAGATCACGAGGTCAGGAGTTTGAGACCAGCCTGGCCAATATGGTGAAACCCTGTCTCTACTAAAAAAATTATCCAGGTGTGGTGGCGCTCGCCTGTAGTGCCAGCTACTCAGAAAGCTGAGGCAGAAGAATCGCTTGAACCTGGGAGGCAGAGGTTGCAGTGAGCCAAGATCGTGCCACTGTGCTCCAACCTGGGGAAAGACTCCATCTCAAAAAAAAAAAAAATTGAAAGCTACCAGGGTTTGGTTATGAGGTTTAAGGAAAGAAGCCACCTTCATAAGCACTCCAGCCTGGGCGACAGAGCAAGACTCTGTCTCAAACGTTGAAAGCTAGCAGATGTCAGTTATGAGGTTTAAGGAAAGAAGCCACTTCCATAAAAGTACAAGGTGGAGCAGCAAGTGCAGATACAGAAATTGTACCAAACTATCCAGAAGATCTAGCTAAGGTAATTGATTAAGGAGGTTACACTAAACAACAGATTTTCATTATAAACAAAACGGCCTTCTACTGGAAGAAGATGCCATCTAGGACTTTGCTAGCTAGAGAGAAGTCAGTGCCTAGCTTCAAGGCTACAAAGGATGTAGTTGATGACTCTAAGTTGAAGCCAGTGCTCATTTGCCATTCCCAAAATCTTAAGAGTCCTTAAGGATGATGCTAAATCTACTCTGCCCATGCTCTAGGAATGGAGCAACAAAGCCTGGATGACAGTGTATTGATTTATGGCATGGTTTACTGAATACTTAAAGCCTACTCTTGAAACCTCACTGCCCAGAAGAAAAGTTTCCTTTCAAAATAGGTGATCATTGATGATGCCCAAGAGCTCTGATGGAGATGAATTGTTTTCATGCCTCTTAACACAGCGTACTTCTCTGCAGCCTGTGGAGCAACAAAGAAGAATTTTGACTTTCAAGTCTTATTATTTAATAAAAAGAATTATATTTCATAAGGCTATAGGTGCTGAACATAGTGATTCCTTTGATGGATCTGGACAAAGTAAATTGAAAACCTTCTGGAAAGGATTCAGCATTCTGGATGTCATTAAGAACATTCATGATTCATGGGAGGTCAGAACAAGAGTTAGGAAGAATCTGATTCCCAACCTGTATTGATGACTTTGAAGGGTTCAAGACGTTAGTGGGAGAAGTCACTGCAGATATAGAGCAAGAGACCTATAGTAAGAAATGGAGCCTGAGGATGTTACTGAATTGTTGCAGTCTCATGATGAAACCTGAATGGATAAGGAGTTGCTTCTTGTGGGTGAGCAAAAACAAAACAAAGCAAAAAAAAAAAAAAAGGTTTCTTGAGATGGAATCTACTTCTGGTGAAGATGCTGTGAACATTGTTGAAATTACAACAAGGATTAAGTTATTACATAAACTTGAATTGATAAAGCAACCCCAGGGTTTGGGAGGATAGACTCCAATTTTGAAAGAAATTCTGTGTGTAAAATGCTTACAAACAGTATTGCGTGTTATAGAGAAATCTTTTGTGAGATGAAGATTCAATCAGTGTGAGAAACTTTGTTGTTGTCTTATGTTAAGAAATTGCCACAGCCACCCCAGTCTTTAGCAACCACTACTATAATCAGTCAGCAGCCGTGAACATCTAGGCAAGGCCTTCCATCAGCAAGATTACCACTCTCTGTAGGCTCAGATGACTGTTAGCATTTTTAGCAATACAATTTTTTTTTTAACCTGGCAACTTTCATTTAAAGCAATAGAATTTTTAATGTATGTGCATTTTTTTTTAAGATATAATGCTATTTCAGACATAAGATAGACTACAGTATAGTGTAAACATAACTTTTATATGCACTGGGAAACCAGAAAATTTGTTTGACTCTCCTTAAAGATAGTCCCTTTTTTGTGATACTCACTTAGCACTGAACTCACAATATATCCAAGGTATGCCTTTTATATAGTATGTCAGATATGTATAAGCTATTATATATTATCTAGCAATAAAACTATTTTAACAGAAGTGAGTATATACAGATATATTAAAACTGGTACACATTATTTCAGAACATATCTATGCAGCATTACTTAATCTTTATTATTTTCCCAGTTAGGTGTTTGATTAAATGCAGAATCACATTTAATCATTTTCCCCACTCCTAGCACAGCATTCTCATTTCTACTTGACTGATTGGTTCCTTTGAAAAATCAGTCATCCTGTTCCTCGCCTTCTTTTTTTTTTTTGAGATTTTCCCTCTGTCACCCAGGCTGGAGTGCAGTGGCACAATCTTGGCTAATGGCAACCTCCACCTCTTGGATTTAAGTGATTCTCGTGCCTCAGCTTCCCGAGTAGCTGGAATCACAGGCACATACCACCATGCCTGGCTAAATAAATTGTCTTGTATTTTTAGTAAAGATTGGGTTTCACCATGTTGGCCAGGCTGGTCTTGAACTCCTGACCTCAAATAATCTGCAACCCCCTCAGCCTCCCAAAGTGTTGGGATTACAGACTTGAGCCACCTAGCCTTTAATTTTTTTAATTTTTTGAGACCGAGTCTTGCTCTGTCTCCTAGGCTGGAGTGCAGTGGCATGATCTTGGCTCCCTGAAACCCCTCCCTCTCCCGAGTTCAAGTGATTTTCCTGCTTCAGCCTCCCAAGTAGCTGAGACTACAGGTGCACACCACCACATTCAGCTAATTTTTTCTATTTTATTAGAGATGGGTTTCACCATGTTGCCCAGGCTGGTCTTGAACTCCTGAGCTTTAGCAATCTGCCTGCTTCAGCCTCCCAAAGTACTAGGATTACAGGTGTGAGCCACTATGCCCGGCCCCTTCGCCTTCTTTTATAGTTGTTTCTTCTGTGTTTCTCTTAAATAACTGTTTGCTTATATCTGTCATGGCACTTAGCACACTATAGTTGTCTCTCTGCCTCATTTCTGTGAATTCTGTTGAGTGATGAGTTTCAGTGTGTCTTGGGTCAGTGATGAGTTTCAGTGTGTCTTGGGTCTCTAGGTATGGCAGAGAATCTGTTATGTAGTAGGCATAGGATAACATATTTTTTAAATGAAAGCAATGGAGAGCTCTCATTATTTGCCACTGTAATAGCAACTAGCATTTTACAGTTTTTTTTTTTTCTAAATTTTTGGGGTAAACATAAAATTTACCATCTTAACTATTTTTAGGTGTACAGTTCAGTTAATGTTAAGTACTTTGTGTGACCAATTACTGTGCAACTAATCTCCAGAACTCCTGTTCATCTTTCAAAGCTTTGTAAACTCTGTAACCCATTAAACTCCCCATTACCCCTTCTTCTTAGCTAGTGACAACCACCATTCTTTTTGTTTCTATGAATTTGATTTCTTCTTACACCTCATATAAGTGAAATCATATAGTATTTGGGTTTTCTTGGAGCAGGGGGACTGACTTATTAATGTAATGTTCTTAGCTTCTCATGTTTTATCAAGTGTTAGAATTTCTTTCATCAGAGTTTTTAAATATTTCGTCATGTATATATATACTTTTTTTTCATTTATCTGTAGATGGACAGTTGGGTTGTTTCCACCTTTTGACTGTTGTGAATAATGTTGCTTTTAACATGGGGGTGCAAGTATCATTTTTTGACATTGACTTTTTATTTTTAGATGGGCACTCTGGTTTTTTAAAAATGATAAAAGCAAAACTTGGCAAGCAAACCTACGGCTGATCTCTAAGTTTGATACTGTTGAAGACTTTTGGGCGTAAGTAACCATTTGTTTTATAATGTTTGTTGTTTTATTAGCTGTGTAGTCTTTTTATTTTTAAGTTGAATTCACAAAATGAAGTGTGAGGTGAACAATTAATGAATGTTCATCTTTTTTTATCTCACAAATGTTTGAATTGGTGATTATGCTTTATTAGTTTTATAAAACTTAAATCTTGTCATCCCTCAGCCCTGATTATTCTGTTTCTTGTCCTGAGGTATCCTTTGCTCAGGAATCCTTTATTGCCCTTAGAACTTTGGACAATTAGTTGGAACTTGTTCTTCTCTTGGTTGACAAGATACATTTGCCTCATAACCAGGTATTCCAGTGCATTGTTGGGTCCTCATTTTTGCGAACTGTTTTTAGTGGAACATCTGGAATTTCCTGTACCACAGATTTTAAGATATCAAAGGCTGAAATGTTTGGAATTCAGGGTTTGTCAAGGGAATGCCAGTATCTATCATGATACTTCATTCATTTCATTATACTTTGATCAGTATCAAGAAGAATATTGGAAATATTTTTGAAATTTTGTTTCTGATATAGCAGAAAGCTAAGAATTGGGATCATCAACTTTTGTATGACTTCAAAGCAAAATTTAAGACTGGGCTCAGTGGCTCATGCCTGTAATACTAATACTTTGGGAGGCTGAGGCAGGAAGATCACTTGCGTCCAGGAGTTCAAGACCAGCCTGGTCAACATGAGTTCCTGTTTCTCTATAAAATATGTAAATTGTAACGTCTAAATTAAGAAGTTTTGATAATTGATTCTCTTAAAAACAAAGTTAATCCAGTGTGTCTAACTTATTTGGAGAATGAGTAGGGAGGGACTATTTGAGACCATGAAAGACAAAAGTCTTTAATAAGCATAAAAGCATTGAAACTTAATAATAACTACATTTAGGTCCTAATAATTTATAGGTCTAGTTGTCTAGTTAAACTAGGGTTATTCTTCTTTGCCTGTCATCAAACATCGGGTAGTTTTTCTTATATAATTATGTTTATTTAGAACTTTTAAATAACTCCAGCCTTCTGCACACACACACACACACACACACACACACAGCTCTTCATTCTGCTACAGAGGAAAAGATTCTTAAGAGTTGCCAATTTTTTAAAAACCAATTTTGCTGTAAGTGATTACAGGAGATCAAATGATCTAAGCCTCTTGCCTTCAGGCAAGCGACTGAGTCATTGCAAATGTTATTCTGTTATTTTGATATTTGGGAAATAGTTTAGAAATACAGATTCCAGGGTTTCATTTCATATTTAGGTGGTTATAATCCCAAGAGGTAGTGCTTGGAACTATATTTTTCTAAAATCATTTTTAAAATGATTATTGTATTGACTGACCAGCGTCAGTTAGTGGTGTTTGCGAACCATTGGTCTATTCTCCTCTTGGATATTCTCGAGGATAATAATGTTGACTCTTTTAGCCACACAATCCCGATGGTCAGGAAGTTCATCTTTTCTGTTTTTTTTTTTTTTTCCTAATGTGTTTGTGAAAAAACAAAACTGTTGATTAATTTCAGAAATTATTTCATTTACTTAAAGCCACCATATATCTCTCTTCTCAGTTTCTTACATACACACATATGTATGCACTGAGTTAACTAACATATAAAAATATATTTTTGTCAGATCAATCACTAGAAATTTTTCGAAAATTATACCTGTCATCTGAAGTTGATTATTGAACTGCTTTTAAGATCTGTTTTGTCCATTTAAGAAATTGACTTCTTAGAAACAAGTAGACATGAACTTTTATCTGTTTATTTTTCATATTTTCTAAATGTATATATGTGTAAGCACCTAAACTCTGTATTACATATTCTGTGTTTTTAATTCTCATTTTCTTTTACCTAGTCTGTACAACCATATCCAGTTGTCTAGTAATTTAATGCCTGGCTGTGACTACTCACTTTTTAAGGTATGTGTAATTGGTGATTTTTATATATTTATTATAGGACTGGGCCATTTGGTAATCATTAAGAAATCTTGCCATAAACTTAGGAGTGTTTGATAGTATGGTGAGCTGGCTGATAATTTAATTGGCTTTAGTGTGCTTTAGTATAAATATATCTTACTCTTTTTGTTTATAAAAATTGAGAGAGGGTTATTCTATGGGTACCATACTGAGATTGATTTTGATGAGCGCTTTGATTATCCAGTCTACTCCTTCCTTTATATATTTGAGCAGACTGAGTTTACCAGGCATTCTTAACCTTAGGAGCATAGGCCTTTGGAATACTTATTATTGGGCCTTGTCAGGTGTAGGGACAGGACATTCATTAACTGAAATTGAATAGTTTTTGCATGTATTTTCTAGGTATAGAAGTGTACAGAGCTTCTAAAATATGTTTGCTACTTAGAAAAAGAACCTTCAAATTAAGTGAGACTCAAGATTTACTAGCTAATAAGTGACAAAGTCAAGACTGTAATTCTGCAGTGTCATGCCTCTGGCATTAAGTTTTATGTGCTTTTTAAAAACTACATCAGCGACAGCTTTATGGAGAATAAACTGAGAAGTTAACAGTGTTGTTGCTCATTGTTTCTAATGATTATCTCTCAAAGTCAAGGTAACAATATTGTGTAATACTGGTGTCTTCTAATCCTATAGGATGGTATTGAGCCTATGTGGGAAGATGAGAAAAACAAACGGGGAGGACGATGGCTAATTACATTGAACAAACAGCAGAGACGAAGTGACCTCGATCGCTTTTGGCTAGAGACAGTAAGTTTTTAAAAGTATAAAGCAGTTTTAGAGGTAGTTTTGGCATACTGAAACTTAATATATGTTACATTTTACATATGTTACTTGATTTAAGAGGAGGATGCCCAGCACTAGAAAATCAGGGTCAGTAATTACTTTTGTTCTGTCACGTGACTTCTGTTTATAGTACAGTGAAACATCCTACCATATTGTAAGTCAGATATTTGAGTGATTGGCAGTTGACTCTCACCACCAATTTTGTGATCATTTCATTCCCCGAAAATTATAAAACCTTACATTTTGTATGATTGAAGTTGTTGCAACCCACTTACAGCATTGCTGTCTGTATTCTGAAATTTTAAATATTTATATTTTTAGAGCTGGGGTCTTGCTCTGTTACCCAGGCTGGAGTGCAGATGTTTATACGGCTCACTTCAGCCTCACCCTTTGGGTCAAGCTACCCTCCCACCTCAGCCTCTTAAGTAGCTTGGACTAGAGGTGCATGCCACCATGCCCAGCTAATTTTTAAAATCTTTTTGTAGAAATGGGATCTTGATATGCTGTCCAGGTTAGTCTCAAACTGCTAGCCTCGAGTGATCCTCCCACTTGAGCCTCTCAAAGTGCTGAAATTACTGATGTGACTCCCTGTGCCTGTCCCACTAAACTTTTTAGATCAGTGAAGCAAACAATAAAATTGTTGTGTACTGTCATTCAACGTACATACTGTGATATAACTGGAACTTTTGTCTTCACAAGACAAATTAAATATGAGATAATAGGCATTTTCTGTATACAGAGGTTCCAGACCCCAAGTTTTAGGAATGGGATTTGTAGTCTCTTTTGTATCCCTAGCGCTTGAAACAGTGCCTGGTTTATAGTTAGCACTTACTAAGTTAATCACTTAAAATGTTGAAATAAGTGACTATTTTGTTATTTTAAAGACAGGGTCTTGCTCTGTCTGTCACCCAGGCTGGAGTGCAGTGGGGCCATCATAGCTCACTGTAGCCTCCTGGGCTCAAGCACATACTGCCTTAGCCTGTCAAGTAGTTGGGACTACAGGTGCATGTCAGCACACCTAGCTACTAAATGAATGGCTTTTTAAGAAGTAATTTAATTCTGTTTTTGAGGGGGAAGATCAACAGCAAGTATCATTTTGGAATTCCACATTAAAAAGTCAGGACATTTCCATTTTTCAGTTAAAAAAAATGGTGTGGAGATGAATGGTACTAGTGATGGTTGTATAACAATTTTGAATGTACTTAACGCCACTGAACTGTACACTTAGAAATGGTGAAAATGGTAAATTTTGTTACTGATGTTTTACCACAGTTAAGAAACCCAATAGGGCCAGGCTCACACCTGTAATCTTATCACTTCAGGAAACCAAGCGAGGTATTTCACTCAGTGAAACTCACAAGTTCAAGACCAGCTTGGGCAACATGGGAAAACCGTGTCTACAAAAAACACAAAAATTAACTAGGTGTGGTGACATGTGCCTGTGTGTAGGCCCAGCTCCTCAGGAGGCTGAGGTGGGAAGATCACTTAAGCCCAGGAGGTTGAGGCTGCAGTGAGATACGATGGTGTTACTGCACTCTAGCCAGGGTGACAGCAAGACCCTTTCTCAAAAACAACAAAAAAACTCACACCATTAACAACTATTCATAAAAAATAAGAACAAGAGGCAATTAATTTAACCATGCATAAGTATTTCTGTTATTCTGTTAATTGTTTGCTTGTAAATAGAAGCAGCAGCAGAGCAAATGAGCATTATAAAATCAGCTTTTATATCTGCCATGATATTAACTGCCAAATTTGCTGAAAAAGGTGAGGACAACTGTTAATGTTTTTGGTAATAAATAAATGAATGAATATTTAAAAGGCAGGACAGATCTCCCCCTTTTCTCTTTCTCTTTCTTTTTTTCTTAAAAAGTCAGGACTGATCTGTATATGCAAATAAAATTTAGACATTTAAAAAGTTAACTCTTGATTTAAAAGCTGTCTTTAGTTTTGTGCCTATACGAATGTAGAAAAGACATTTGCAGTGTAATAGCTTGTTTATAATCTGTTAAATGTAATGTGGGATTTTTTTTTAAAGCTGCTGTGCCTTATTGGAGAATCTTTTGATGACTACAGTGACGATGTATGTGGCGCTGTTGTTAATGTTAGAGCTAAAGGAGATAAGATAGCAATATGGACTACTGAATGTGAAAACAGAGAAGCTGTTACACATATAGGGTAAGTTTTGCTGTTTGCCTACTTATTTTTACAATATTAAAATGACTAAAACAAGAAGTTATTTTATTTGTAGCTTTAGATATACTTTGGTTTGTAGATTCTGTTTTCCTTGTATTGTTTTCCTGAACACTTTCATAAGTTTGAATGGCTCTGTTGGTGCTCAGTGTCTTGTTCATATATATATTTGTGGTTTTTGTTTTTGATTTTGTTTTTTTACACCACTATTTCATTTATTTATTTATTTATTTATTTATTTATTTATTTATTTTGAGAGAGAGTCTCACTCTGTTCCTCAGGCTGTGTTGTACAGTGGCATGATCTATGCTCACTGCAACCTCCGCCTCTCGGGTTCCAGCAGTTCTCATGTCTCATCCTCTCAAGTAGCTGGGAATACTGGTGCATGTATTATTTCTTACTTTGAAAGTACTGTTTGAAAAAAGTACTATTTTGAAAAAGCTAATGTATGCTCATAATAAAAATAATTCAGTGAGTATTGACAAATAGTATATGTGCATTTAAAGCATGTGAATTTTCATTAAATTTGTATGACATAAAACATAGAATTTTCATTAAATTTACATGACATATCTTGGTTTTTATTCATATTTAAAACCCATATATGTGGGGGGTTTTTGACCACTTTTGGAAATTTTATTCTTTGCAAAAATGATGGTTTTGTTGTTGTTGGTGGTGGTGGTGTTTTTCTTTTGTTTTGTTTTGTTTTCTGAGACAGGGTCTTACTGTGTTATTCAGGCAGGAGTGCAGTGGTGCAGTCATGGCTCACTGTAGCCTCAGCCTCCTGGTGATCCTCCCACCTCAGCCACCAGAGTAGCTGGAACTACAGGCGCATACCACCACGTCTGGCTCATTTTTTTGTACATTTTGTAGAGAAGAGATTTTGCTGTGTTGCCCAGACTGGCCATGAACTCCTGGACTTGATCAGGCCACCTCAGCCTTTCAAAGTGCTGAGATTACAGGCGTGAGCCACCATGCTAAACCAGCTGGCATTTTTTTCTAACTAAGATTTCTTTTTACCTCAATTATATTAGTAACATTTGACTCACAATTTTATGTTAAAATTAAGTGCTGGTCAGTCAGTGGTCATAAAATGTTTGGTTTGCCCTGTTGTGATTTTTTTCAAATATTATTAATTTTTCTTTTTAAAATTAATTTTTTGAGACAGTTACACTCTGTTGCCCAGGTTGGAGTGCAGTAGCACGATCTCAGCTCATTGCAACGTCCCCCACTTGGGTTTAAGTGACTCTCTTGTCTCAGCCTCCTCAATAGCTGGGATCACAGGCCTGAGCCATGACAGCATTTTTTGTAGAGACAAGGGTTTTGCTGTGTTGGCCAAGCTGGTGTTGAACTCCTGGCCTCAAGTGATCTGCCTGTCTCAGCCTCCCAAATTGCTGGGATTTCAAGCGTGATCCACCGCTCTCAGCCATGTATTTTTCTGTGAACATAATTTATTTCTAGATCAAAAGGTATAGGGATTTTCTACATTTCATGCTGTATAGGGTTCACTAAGAGAAAGGAGTTGATCTGTCATCATATTTTAATGTTTCTGCCAGCATCAAAACCCAATTGTGGAGGTTTTACTTTATTTTAAACAAGAATTAGAGAAATTAATAATTTTTTTTCTATGGAAGTTTTGTATTTTTGTCAATATTAAATGCTTTTGAGTCTATATTAAGACTTCAGATTTTCAAAGAAAGATTCTTTTTTTAACCCTTCCAATTTGCGTTAGTCTTGCTTTCTGGTGTTTTCAATAATTAAGTATAATTCAAAGGAATGCATTGCATTGTAATGCAAATTTAATAATTATCACTTTACCATAAAATTTCTTTTTAATACTTTATTTTAGGGGGAAGGTGGTAAATCTTTTGGAAGGTATGAAAAAACTATCTTAGTATTGTGTTGGAGGATTTAACTCCATTAGTATGTTTGTTCCGTGATTGATTGATTGAGACAGAGTTTCATTCTTGATGTCCAGGCTGGAGTGCAGTGACGCAATCTAGGCTCACTACGACCTCCACCTACCGAGTTCAAGTTTGCCGCAGCCTCCAGAGTAGCTGGGATTATAGGCATGCACCAACATGCCCAGCTAATTTTGTATTTTTAGTAGAGATATGTTGGTCAGGGTGGTCTTGAACTCCTGACCTCAGCTAATCTGCCCGCCTCCGCCTCCCAAAGTGCTGGGATTACAGGTGTGAGCCACCACGCCTGGCTATTCCTTTATTTGTATTTGATATTGCTTATTTTTGAATTTTTGCTATATTCCTTCCCTCCTTTTTTTTTTTTGAGACAGAGTCTCACTCTGTTGCCCAGACTGGAGTGCAGTGGCACGATCTCAGCTCACTGCAACGTCTGCCTCCTGGGTTCAAGTGATTCTCCTGCCTCAGCCTCCCAAGTAGCTGGGACTACAGGCGCATGCCACTACACCCAGATAAGTTTTTGTTTTTAGTAGAGTTGGGGTTTCACCATCTTGATCTCCTGACCTTGTGATCCACCTGCCTTGGCTTCCCAAAGTGCTGGGATTATAGGTATGAGCCACTGGGCCAGCCTTATTATTTTCTTAAAGATTCAAATTTTTAAGGTGACATATGAAGCTCTCTTCCTCTGAAAACTTGTCAGCCTTATCTCATATTCACTTTACTTATGAGCCATAGCCACACAGTCTAATTTTTATTTCTCAGCTCTCAGATGTGCTCATTCTCTTAACATTATCCTTTTGACCTCATGATATTTAAAGGGGTGACTTCTCTAATTTTGTAGATGAGATTAGAATCTCCTTGTTATACAGTATCACAGCCCCTATATTTACTCTTTGGCACTTGTGACAAGTGCCATTTTGTTCTTGGAAACGTGTGCATGAGTCACGTCTTACTTGAAAATTAGATTGTCAAGTTCTAAATTAAATAGATTAATTTAGAACATAATTTCTAACTATTGCATAATTTCTAATCTATGCAATATGTTCTAAAAAAATATTGCATTTTTAGTGGGCTGGGTGTGGTGGTGGGTGCCTGTAATTCCAGGTACTCGGGAGGCTGAATCGCTTGAAACTGGGAGGTAGAGGTTGTAGTGAGCCGAGACTGCGCCATTGCACTCCAGTCTGGGTAACGAGCAAAAATCCATAAATAATGTAATTAACCAGGAATATTGCAAAAATGGAAGAGTAAATTATGCTAAAAGAGTAAATTATGCTAATTTCCTGTTGTACTCTCAAGTCTGTATTTTATAATATAAAGACTAATAACACTAAATTTTTAAATTTATTTACTTGTGAATAAAAATTAATGGCTACTTTTTTTTTTTTCTTCTAGGAGGGTATACAAGGAAAGGTTAGGACTTCCTCCAAAGATAGTGATTGGTTATCAGTCCCATGCAGACACAGCTACTAAGAGCGGCTCCACCACTAAAAATAGGTTTGTTGTTTAAGAAGACACCTTCTGAGTATTCTCATAGGAGACTGCGTCAAGCAATCGAGATTTGGGAGCTGAACCAAAGCCTCTTCCAAAAGCAGAGTGGACTGCATTTAAATTTGATTTCCATCTAAATGTTGCTGAGATATAAGAGAAGTCTCATTTGCCTTTGTCTTGTACTTCTGTGTTCATATATATATATATATTTTTTGGCTAGAGTGTCCACTATCCCAATCAAAGATTTACAGTACACATCCCCAGAATCCATAAATGTGTTCCTGGCCCACTCTGTAATAGTTCAGTAGAATTACCATTAATTACATACATTTTACCTATCCACAATATTCAAAAAACAACTTGACATTTCTCTACTTTACAGGAAAAAAATTCTGTTGATGTTCTATTGTATGCAGGAGCATATTTTGCTGTTTTGAAAGATTATGATGCATACAGTTTTCTAGCAATTTTCTTTGTTTCTTTTTACAGCATTGTCTTTGCTGTACTCTTGCTGATGGCTGCTAGATTTTAATTTATTTGTTTCCCTACTTGATAATATTAGTGATTCTGATTTCAGTTTTTCATTTGTTTTGCTTTTGTTTTTTTCCTCATGTAATATTGGTGAAGGATCCAGGAATATGACACAAAGGTGGAATAAACATTAATTTTGTGCATTCTTTGGTAATTTTTTTGTTTTTTTTTGTAACTACAAAGCTTTGCTACAAATTTATGCATTTCATTCAAATCAGTGATCTATGTTTGTGTGATTTCCTAAACATAATTGTGGATTATAAAAAATGTAACATCATAATTACATTCCTAACTAGAATTAGTATGTCTGTTTTTGTATCTTTATGCTGTATTTTAACACTTTGTATTACTTAGGTTATTTTGCTTTGGTTAAAAATGGCTCAAGTAGAAAAGCAGTCCCATTCATATTAAGACAGTGTAAAAAACTGTAAATAAAATGTGTACAGTGAATTGTCTTTTAGACAACTAGATTTGTCCTTTTATTTCTCCATCTCTATAGAAGGAATTTGTACTTCTTATTGCAAGGCAGTCTCTATATTGTGTCTTTTGTGGTGTCTTCCATGTGAATAGTATAAGTTTGGAGCACTAGTTTGATTATTATGTTTATTACAATTTTTAATAAATTGAATAGGTAGTATCATATATATGGAATTAAATTGATGTGGCTATCTTTGTTTTTTTTATAAAGTAAGGCACAGTCCTTCAGTCTTAGGTAAATAATGTACTCTCTTAATATGTTAATACTCATGAGAATTGGGATCTGACGCATCACCATTTGATTAGTGAATTGAGTTGTTTGTATGTAAGTTTCAAAATGATAGTATAGGGAAAAGACAGGTGGTGGGGATGTATGCATTAAGAATTTTGTTGGTGTTGCAATCTAAATCGAATGGAATAAACAGGTATTAAGCCATTTATAGTGATAAATTGTTGTAGTATGGTATTCTGTAAACTCGAAAACTTGATCTACTATTTGTAGGTATCATTTGAAAACAAACTTGAAAATATTTTGTACATAGTACATACTTGTATAGTGCTGTGAAATGAAGTATGGCTATCAGACCAAAGGATAAGCCAAGCTCTAGGTAGCCGAATGGAAATTACTAGTTTGAGAAGAAAATTTGTCTTTGAATGGTGACTATGACTTAATCATTTTAAAACTGATAAACTTGACAAAAACCATGTATGAAATAAACATGAAATTAATAGCACTGATTTCATTGTAGAATTTTAAAATAGTTTAAGGGGTACCACAGGTTATTACAGTACTCTCTGAATGCCACAAACACCTCTTGTTCAGTATTCTGAAAATACTGAATCTTTTGTTTTTATTATAATCTCAGCATGCAGTACATAATATATGCTGGTTAAACTTGGGTAATTGGTTAAGCTGACTTACTGTCTGTGTTGATATGTATAGTTCTGAGCACTTGAAGAGCTTGCTTAAAAGTGATGGTGGTGCCGGGTGTGGTGGCTCACACCTGTAATCCCAGCACTTTGGGAGGCCGAGGCGGGTGGATCACGAGGTCAACAGATCAAGACCATCCTGGTCAACATGGTGAAACCCCGTCTCTACTAAAAATGCAAAAGATTAGCTGGGCATGGTGGTGTGTGCCTGTAATCCCAGCTACTCAGGAGGCTGAGGCAGGAGAATTGCCTGAACCCAGGAGGCGGAGGTTGCAGTGAGCCGAGATCGCGCCATTGCACTCCAGCCTGGGTAACAGGAGCGAAACTCTGTCTCAAAAAAAAAAAAGTGATGGTGTTGGTGGTATGTTGGTAATGGGTGGGACTGAAATAGTGTATCTATTAGAAATTAATGTTGTATTTCCTGAATTCTAAGATGAAGTCCAGTTTTAAGAAGCATCAGCTCATAGGGGGAAAGGAGGAATAATACATTAAATGTATACAGTTCAAATTTTTGAAGTAACTAATTTGTAGCATTTGATTATTGTTATTACCATTTTAGAATCATGATTTTATTTTAAACCTTTTTTCTGGGGACAAGAAAGGATGATAAATTACTCTCAATCACTTTGGGCAGTTGCCACTTTAGTACAGTGATTAAGCAACTTTTATAACTATTAGCACCTTCTTTAAATGTAAAATTAGGTTATATGTTATTTTCAACTTACTCTTTTCTCTCTGTTTAACAAGATATTATAAATAGATGTATTTTCATAATAGAGAATTGAAATAGGATTTTAGTGGACACTTTTATTGTAGGAATGTGACATATTTCATTTAATAAATTTAATGTTGACTGTCCCAATTCTATAGAAGGATTTAATGAATATTATGTAATTAAATAATTATAACACATAGTAATAATTTATATACCAGGCAGTATTCCAGTCACTTTACATGCACATTAACTCGCACAATAATCTTTTGAGATGTAGGTACTGTTGCTGAGAATTTAAGTAACTTTTGCTTGTAAGTTGCAAAGGGTGGATTTGATTTCTGGAAATTGGGTGCCAGAGACAATAATTACATAACACTTTTTCCATAGGGTATAGCCTAATATAGTAAATGATCTCAGCTTGTTATATGTTGGGCATACAAACATGTCTCTGTTTCACTCCCCTTGGTAATGAATCTAATAAAAGATGGAAATTTTCCCTAGATTGACTGTATTAGTTGGGGAAGTTTGGAGGCAAAGGTACGGGAGTTTTCAGGAGTCTAGTGTAAGTAAATATAGTCACATGCTATATAAGGAAGTTTTGGTCAGCAACAGACCACATATCGGGTGGTGGGCCAGTAACATAACACTGTATCTTTACTGTTCCTTTTCTATGTTTTATTATGTTTAGATACACAAATACCATGTGGAGTATTCAGTATGGTAACACGCTGTACAGGTTTCTAGCCTAGGAGCAGTAAGACTTTGATAAAGCTTGCATTTGTAGTAGGTTATACCATCCAGGTTCATGTGAGTACACAATGGAATCACCTAATGACCCATTTCTCAAAACATATCCCCATCATTAAGCAATGCATGCTCATGTTTTCATATACATTTTTAAGCTTCTGTATTCTAAGTGGCAAAATAAGGCAAAATTGTTCAAATTGATAATTGAGATTCTTAAATGCTAAAGTTTCAAAAGGATAATTTTAGGCATTGTGACAAAGCAAGTGTTTTAAAGTTAATGACAAGTCTATGCATCTTTTACCTCTAATTGTTTCTTACAATATGTCTTGTGTTATTGAGTAGTAACATAATAAATGTCAGATCCTTTTTACACAGATTCAAGAGTTTAGGCCAGATTAACATTAACAAAACCAGCATATCTCTCAAGGTCAGTGTAGAAATTGTGTGTGTCTGGAAACTTCTATAGCAAGTTTATATTACTGTGACATTAATATGTCATCACTTTTCTAGTAATGTTTTTAAAATAATATATCTTAAAGGCTAGGCATAGTGGCTTATATCTGTTATCCCAGTACTTTGGGAGGCCGAGGTAGCAGGACTGGTTAAGTCCAGGAGTTCAACACCAGCCTGGGCAACAAAGTGAGACCCCATCTCTACAAAATTGAAAAGTGTTTGTGTGTGTGTCATGACACACACACACACATATATATAAAGTATGTCTGGCAGAGTGCAGTTTAAGGGTTAGAACTGGTCCCTCACATAGGGTGTGAGAAACTCTGCTCACAGGTTTCTTTCCCCCTTAGCCCTGGGCATCTCATTTGCCCATCATTCCCTAAAACAACCAGGTCTGTTAGGTCCACAGTTTTCATCTTCAGTTAATGGATTTGGTGTCAAAATTTTAGTCCTGTTCTGTGGCATCTTAAAATGTTGTGTCCTGCTTTACTAATGAATTCCAAAGTAGTCATTAGGTAGCCTTCCTACTTCTTAGATGGTTTAGAGTTCGATATTCTTAGGACTGTTCCACTGGTAGAAGCAAAAAGTGAAATTGTAGGCATGTGATCACATGTGCCTATGTTGCTTCTTTTCCAATTTAGGGGAATTAATTTTCATATTTTAATCTTGCAGCTTTTTCTGTATTTCATACACTGATTTCTCATAGTTGTGCACAGAACTCACTTCCCTGTCTTTTCTGGAAAAATATGTATGTATACTCATACATATGTATTGAGCACCTCTATTTACTCTGTTTCATGTGCTGAGCATAGAGCAAGAAAAGAATGGTTGGGACCCTGCTCCAAAGAAGTTTTAAAAGCAGACTTATGTTAAAATGCATGAGTCTGGCCGGTAGCAGTGGCTCCTGCCTGTAATACCAGCACTTTAGGAGGCTGAAGCGGGTTGATCACATGAAGTCAGGAGTTGGAGACCAGCCTGGCCAACATGGTGAAACCCTGTCTCTACTAAAAATACAAAAATTAGCCAGGCATGGTGGCGTGCACCTGTAATCCCAGCCACTTGGGAGCCTGAGGGGAATTGCTTGAACGCAGGAGGCGGAGGTTGCCGGTGAGCCAAGATTGCGCCACTGCACTCCATCCTGGGTGCTGGCAACACGCCATCTTAAAAAGCATGCATCTGTCTGTGAGGTTCTACAAATTGCTTTTGTTATTGAAAATAGAACTAGGGTTTTATTACTGAGGATTATGTAGTCTATAGAGGTAAATATTAAATGAGGTTTGGTTTTTTGTTTTTGAGACGGAGTCTTGCTTTGTCACCAGGCTGGAGTGCGGCAGCACAATCTTGGCTCACTGCAACCTCCCCCTCTGGGGTTCAAGCAATTCTGCCTCAGCCTCCCAGGTAGCTGGGACTATAGGCACATGCAACCACGCCCAGCTAATTTTTGTATTTTTAGTAGAGACAGTTCCACCATGTTGGCCAGGATGGTCTGGATCTCTTGAACTTGTGATCCTCCCGACTCGGCCTCCGAAAGTGTTGGGATTGCAGGTATGAGCCATGTCCAGCGCTGGTTTGTTCTACATAGTCTTCCAGCTCCATTGATTATAAATAAATCACATTCCAGGAGACCCTAGCAAACCAGTATAAGCAAATTACAGCTTTTGCAAGACTGTTTCTACTTTTATATTACTGAACTCTATATGATTGTCTGAGTAAAATTTTGTGGCTCTTTTTTGAGTATGTGATTGTACTTTAAATTTTTTTCACCATTCAGTTAACATTTTTTAGCATAGTGTAGTATTTTACATGCAATTGTGTCTGCACTGCAGACACCTTCCCAAAATACTGATCTTTTTTTCTTTAATGTTTGACCAAATATAATACATGCTTTTTGTTTTTTGTTTTGAAATAGTCTTGCTCTATCACACAGGCTGGAGTACATGGCATACTCTCGGCTCACTGCAACCTCTGCCTCCCAGGTTCAAGCGATCCTCCTGCCTCAGCCTCCAGGCATCTCCCTGGAATTACAGGTACCCACCACCACACCCAGCTAATTTGTATTTTTAGTAGAGATGGGGTTTTGCCATGTTGGCCAGGCTGGTTTCGAATTCCTGACCTCGTGATCTGTTGGGGTCTGGCACATCTGCCGGGGGGCTGCTGACCTGTGGGAGTCCCCGAGACTGCCAACGTAGATGTCTAGTTCAACCTGAGGGAGAGAGTGCACGGAAGTGAAAGAAGAAAGAAAAGCGGAGTCTGGAGGTCTGCGTGACTTGTAGTCAAGCAGCAGCTTTATTTTTATGGGTTACGGCTTTTATACCTTTTTTCTTGTTATATTTACATTAGCTCAGCATTTACTTTAGCTTAGCATTTACTTTAGCTCAGCAGAAAAAGGGGGGTAAACATAAAAGGGAGCAGAAAAAGGGGGGTAAACATAAAAGGGAGCAGAAAAAGGGGGGTAAACATAAAAGGGAGCAGAAAAAGGGGGGTAAACATGGAACAGAAACCACATAAAAATAGTTATCAAGGGCTTGTGATAACAGCTCACAAAGCAGTTTAAAGGGGCTTGTGGTAATAGCTTACAAAGCAGTTTAAAGGTTAATATATGTTTTTTAAGAGTACACAGTGCAATCAAACAATGGTGTCCTCATGGTGGCTTGTTAATTATGTTTTCCATCAGGAGGTAGAGCAAAGGCTCAGCTCCTGAGAAAATATGGGCAGGGGTCCTTGCCCCTCTCAGGCATCTCAATTGCAGCAAGTCTGTTGCTTACACAGAGATTAAAGGGGATATGAAAGCAGTCAGCATGCCCTTGTAAACTGCAGGCCTTTGCTCTGTATCTTGTTTTTGCCTCAGTGGCTCAGCCCACGACCCTTGCCTCAACTCAACAGCCCTCGAGAG